TGTAGATGACATGACTGTCTATGCAGAAAATCTGATAGAATCTACAAAAAAGCTACTAGAACTATTAAGTGAGTTTAGGCCAATTTGCAGTATAAAAGATTGATATACAAAATATCAACTGTTTCTATATACTAGAAATAAAAAAATTTTTAAACATCATATGCAATGGAATAAAAAATACGAAATAATTTAGGGATAAATCTGACAAAATGTGCTAGAACTATATACTGAAAACTATAAAACACTGCTGAGAAAAATGAAAGAAGACCCACATAAATGAAGAGATATATCGTGTTCCTGGACCCAAAGACTCAATGTCATTAAAATGCCAATTCTTCCCAAAATGATCTCTGGAGTTAAAGCAATCCCAATAAAAACCCAGAAGATTTTTTTTGTAGAAATTGATGAGCTGAATATAAAATTCATAGGTTGAAAAAACTCAGAATCACCAAAATGATTTTGAAGAATAAAGTTTGAAGACGTAGATTACCTGTAGACTTGTTACAAAGCCATAGTAAACAACCTTTCCTTGGTGGAAATGTTGACAGAGCAACAAAACAAAATAGAAAGTCCAGAAGTGACACACACATATATGGTCAATTGATTTTTGACAAAGGCACAAAGGCAATTCAATGGAGAATGACCAGTCTTTTAAACAAATGGTGCTGGAACAACTGGAAACATATATGCAGAAAAGAAAAAAGAAAACATTTTGATCACCTTGATACCTTGTACCATATTAAAAAATTAACTCAAAATGGATCATGGATATAAATGTAAATTCTAAAACTATGAAACTTCCAAAAGAAAAGATAGGAGAAAATTTTTGTGACCTTGGATTAGGTAAATGTTACTTATATACAACACTAAAAACAAGATCTTTAGAAGAAAAAAAAATTGTTAAATTGGACTTCACCAAAATCAAGAACTTCTTTCTATTCTCTAAAGGACACTGTTAACAGTGAAAATACAAACCATAGACTGACAGAAAATACTTGCAAATCACAAATCTGACAAAAGACTCATAACCACAATATATAAAAGACTCTCAAAACTTAATAAGAAAACAAACAACCCAATAAAATTAGGCAGAAGAACAGATACTTTATGAAAGAAGATATATGGATAGCAAATCATATGAAAAGATATTCGATTAGGGAAATCCAATGCATTACAGAAATGCCAATTAAAATCATCATGAGATATCACTAAATACTTATTAGACTGTTTACAATTAGACAGACTGACCATATCAAGTGTTGGCAAGCATATGAAGCAACAGGAACTCATACACTGCTGGTGGAAATGTAAACACTACACCCACTTTGGAAAACAGTTTGTCAGTTTCTTAAAAAGTTAAACTAATACCTATGATACGAAAAATTATTTTACTCCTAGGAATGTACCCAAGAGAAATGAAATATGTCCATACAAAAGCATGCATGTAATTGCTCATAGTATCTTTATTTGTAACAGCCAAAAACTGGGAATAATGCAAATATCCATCAACTGCTTAATGGATAAACAAATTACGCTATATCCACAAAAGGTAATATTTCTAAAAAATAAATGGAATGAACATGAATGATTCTTAAAACAATTATGCTTAGTGAAAGAAGTCAGACGAAAGGGAGTACATACTGAGTTATTCTATTTACATAAAATTCCAGAATATGCAAACTAATCTATAGTGAGAGATCAGTGGTTTCCTGGGGATGGTGACAGATGAGGATGGGAAAGGTGGGAGGGCAGGATATTACAAAAGGACACAAGGAAACTACTGGGAGGATGGATATGTTCATTACCTTCCCAGTTTTGTGTGCGTGTGTATGTAATATTTGCATTTGACATATACGTTAAAACTTATCAAATTACACACTTTATTTACATACAGTTTATTGTATGTCAACAATACCACAATAAAACTGTTAAAAATTTTGGTAGCCCAGTATAATAAATTGTATAGGATCTCATGACATGCATTTCTGTGCATCAAACATATTTTTTTCATTTTCTGTTATTTTCTATATGAATTTAATTTTTTCTTTCTTATTCTGTGTTATTGTACTGTATATGAAAGTCTTGGCAAATTTCTTTGGTAATAAGATGGGTAAAAAAATGCACACAATGGGGCTGGCCCTGTAGTATAGCAGTTAAGTTCACGCACTCCACTTGTGCAGCCTGAGGTTCCCAGGTTCAGATCCCAGGCACGGACCTAGCAGCACTTGTGAAGCCATGCGGTGGCAGCATCCCACATAAAATAAAGGAAGATTGGCACAGATGTTAGCTCAGCGACAATCTTCCTCAAGCAAAAAGAGGAAGATTGGCAACAGATGTTAGCTCAGGGCCAATCCTCCTCACAAACACACGCACGCGCACACACACACACACAAAACCCAAACTAACAAAACTGCACACAAATACAACAATGTCATATTCAGCAGAACCAGGAGATATTAAAGGCTAACTGAAACCTCTTTACACATGGCAACTAAGAGGACTGTCCAAGGGTTATGCGTCCATACTACATATCCAACATTTCTTCTGAATTGTCTGATCTCATTCATTCATCCCTTCATTTACCAAGCATATTTTTCTGTGGCAGGATATGAGTAATCGAAGTATATGATATTTGACTTTACTTGATCTTACATGGTTGATTATAACCTTAGTTTGAGCATTACATTAAAAACTCTAGGTACTAGAGAGAAAGTTTTACTGATGGTAGACGCAGAGCTTCATCTCTGTAACATAATTTTATTTTCTTAGATGTTCAGGAGAAGAGCATCATCAGAATCATCCTGACACATTCTGACATTTGAGTGGTTTGATTGTATTTGATACATTACTTTTTTAAAAAAATAGGATAAATGCCAAATGCCTCTATGAACTTCAGTGTTTATGGCCCAGGATTATTAATTAAATGTAGTTCTTCATTTTAAAAATACCTTTCCTGGACTGGAGCAATTGGAGTGTGAATTAATTCAATGTAGTTTGAAATATAGGAATTACTGAATTCAGTTACCTTTTTACTCTGTTATTTCAATTTCTTGAAGCACACGCTCCTGTTCAGAGAATTGTTTTACTCCCCAGGCTAAGGAGATTTCTGTCCTTTTTAATTTAGACTTGGTGGGCATGTTGCAAATATTCTCCCTGGCTGGGTTTTCCAGATCTATTGTAGTAATGCCAATTCTTCATTTCTCTGCTTCTCACCTGTTTCTGTCTATTTATTTGTGTATAAGATGTCAAAGGAAAATGAAAAGTAACACCTCCAAATACCACCTTGAAAAAGAAAATGCCAACAAATTCTTTTCTGCACCTGAAGCTTTTAATTCTTTAATCCACCATGGAATGCTGCTTAATTACATATTTTATTATGCATAACTGAAAATTATGTACTTTAGTTTCAACAATGATATGAAAGCATGTATTGTTTATAAATAAAGAGAGGCTGGCTTGCCTCTATTTTTTTATGTTACAAATATTTGAGGAATTCTCACAGGTTCTCCTTCTAAAATTGGCTTTTTGAGAATTCTCAGAGGGCTCTGAGAAAAAGTTCAAGTTTTAATACTTTTGTCCAGAAATCAGAAAATTCACTACTTTGCAAAAAAGTAAGATGATGTCATATCATTATGGGCAAAAGCCATTGAACAGTTGCGATATTTTCATAGACATTTCATCTTAATTTTAATGAGTTTCACAGAGTATTTATTAATGGAAAAATGTTACAATTGTTGAACTGGGTGGTGAATCTTCGGGGGTTCATTATACTGTTCTCTCCTTCTTTGTGTGTATGTGAACATTCCTATAATAAAGTGTTCATTTAAAAAACACAATGTGGTATATACGGATCTTCCACCAGGATGCAGAGTTTTGAAGTTAATATTTCATGATGAAACATTTCATACACTTGATTTCAATTACCTATTGATGGACTTTTTATATTAGCAAAACACGTTACATTATCTTTCTGAAAATTTTGAATTGCAATTAATTTTTTCTTCTACATTTGAAAAAGCTTTTAAGGAGAAAATAGAGATTGAAACTTGTGGCTAGGAAACTTGGGTTTGAGATTGATGTGGCCATTTAACAGCTGAAGAAATCAGTTACCCGGAGCTTCCCTCTCTCGTCTTTGAAGTGGGAATTTCAGGATCTGCCTTAGGAATCGCAGAGCGGAATGGAGATCCGTTGGTGGCACTGCCTTGTAAAAGGAAGCATTCTACAAATGTTGCTGTTATCGTTTTAAGTATATTTGAGGGCCAAGTTAGGAAGGAGGCCTCTCTGGTAAAACAAATATTTGAAAACAAAAATTCGAAACAAAAGTGGAGTAGGTGAAACTTGTCCCCACATTAAGATGCTGTTGGACAGGTCTGTGCTCTGGACAAATGCTCATTTTGCATCACATTGCCACAGACTTAACGAATTAATGGATACCGGTAAATATTTGAAACTTCTCAACACGCTCATTGAACAGGTACTGCTCTGTTCCACCCACCCTTTTGTGGGTGGAAAATCAGAGTGGCACATGGGACATCATTTATCTTTGGGGTGTAAGGGCACGAATTAGAGACTGTCACTGTAACAAAAACTTATTTGAATACCATAAAAAGCAAATATTCACTAACAGTAAAAAAAATTCAACTAACAGTAAAGAAATAACGTTCAACATTTAACAGTGCAAAGTATGTCAATTTAGAGTTTCTTTGTGTGTGTTTACTTTGCACGGCAACAACTCTAACGTACTGTTCTACTGTATTTCCTCAGCAACCACCTCATCAACCATTATCATAGAGAACAGGGCCACAGTCGTGTGCTTTTGATGACAGTAGAGATATTAGAAGTTGAAAATAGCTGATGGAAGAAACTGACTTCATACACAACCTTGGTATAAGGCAAGAATCCATAATGGAATTGGTGTAGAATTATTTTGATAAAATTAAATTTGGAAATAAAATACATATGATCTGCATAAGTAGGATAACATAAAAATGTTGCTCATCTTTTAAACATTAATTCCAAACTATTTTTATTTAACATTTGGTATTGTTAAACAGGTATAGTATTCTGGACATACGCCTTCCGTCACATTTCTTTAGTAAGGGTACTTCATATTTTATCAAAAATGTGTATGTTAATAGATTGTAGTTTAGCCTTTGTCAAAAGACATGCAAGTATTTAGTATTTACATTACAAGGATTGCCGGGAAGAAACACTGAATCCATAATATGCCCCCTTAAAAAGTAAAAAATATTTATTTGTAAGGTAGACTATAGCATAGATATCTTCTGGTATTTTAGATATGATTAATACTTTTGGACCTCCATTGGTTTTCACACTATCATGCAAGTTTCTGGCTTGCTTTAACACAGTAGTCCTGTTTTTATCGGCTACACAATAGGGCATATATATTTTAATTGCTTTTCTTGAAAATATCACCAGAAAATTCAGAATACCTCATTTATTGATAATATCGTGATAATCAAGGACCTTAATATCAGCCGATGATAACAATAGGGAATAGGGCAGAATTTAATAATGCAACATATGGGATTGTCATTTTTACTCAATCTCGAACCATTTGAAAATGTTTTCTACTCAATCTATATATTTTAGATAAGCACAGTTAGATATAGATATCACTACTTGGAAAAAAATCCCACTTCTTTTAAGATCAGAATTCCTTAGGACTAAATGTTAATGGATACAATTTTTATACATATGTACAGACTTTGTAACCAAAGTGCCACACAACTAGGGCACACATATTAGTTACCTCGGTTTTCAAAGGTTATGTGTCAACTCTGCATCTTATGTGCCAAGGAGATACTATCGTTATTTTTTGCATAATGTGCAAGTATTATATGGCCACAGAGTGTAATACAAATTAGTGGCAAAGTGCTGAGGGAAGGAATCCATGACAGATTCAGATGCACAAGGTTGACATTACCCGTAAACTACCTGACTCTGCGAAGGTCTTAAGAGCACGAAGTGCGATGTCATGCCCAACTTTTAAAAGTCTCTAACACTTGGACACAATGAAGGTTGTTCAAGGAATTTCACCAGAGCCGCCCGCAACAAGAAGGCTGGTATGAGCGATAAATGACATTGTGGAAGATCACCCAGACAAATCTTTTCCAAAATGTGCCATCTTCTCTGAAAACAATTTTGCTCTCTCCATGATGACTGTCATTGTTTATTGACGTGTGCTTTTGTTGTTGTTGTTGTTTGGTTTGAAACATATTAAGAAAATTATGCTCCTTACGTTAAAGGGTCTAAGTGAGAATTTCGTCAGTATTTGTTATACTGATTTCCTACACACACGCATTGTTTCATTGAGAATGTTATTTCAAAAGTTAGGAGGTTACTGGGAATGGGAAAATCTTATTTGCAACCCAATTTCTCCTTCCAAAAAGATTAGTAAGTTTCACACCTGCCTGACACCTTATGTTAAGTGCTGGTCTGGTTGAAAAAAACAAAAAACAAAAAACCCTCTACTCTCTGCTCTAGCTTTTCCCCTTAAACTCAGAGAAAAGAAAGACGAAGATAGGATTTTTCTAAAAAACTTTATGGCGTACTAGTGTCTATTAATACATGAAAACCAATTTATATTTTATTAATTCAAATTCCTTTTGCTCAAATGATTTTCTGAACTCGTGAGCAAGAATGTTTCAAAAGTTATTTTCCAATTTAATTAACAGAATTGAAAACTTTTTCAAAACAATTTTAAGTTTGCAGCAAAGCAGCTGCCTTCAGAGTGATCCAGCTGTGCTTCCAAAGTGAATGGTACTTTTAAAGCTGAATCAGGAGTTTTCAGTGATCCCCTTTCAGTTTCTTGGGTAAAAGTTCAACACTAAAGCAGCCCCGGTGCTACTGATGAGCTTATCAGGGCCTGGGGAAATGACGGGCAGGAAGACAAGAGGCGATTTCAAAGCCAAGTATCAAGGGACCCAGATACTCCCACGAACATCTAGGAAACCTCAAAAAGAGGAAGCAAAAGATCAATGAATACAAAGAAAATAAGAATCAAAAACTGCAACACTGGACTCAGTCCTTTCTATGACTATTATTTAGCACACCTCATTTTGTATCTTGGGAGTTTATTGAGTCTCATGATACAAGAATTTTGAAGCTTGTGTTTAAATTTCAGGTGTGTTCCTATTTTCTTCATGTAGTTCTTATAGTTACAACATACACAACCAAATGAGCTCAGAGTTATTAACTTATATTCCATTCATAGCTTAAAAAAATACATTGCTAACTAAGGAGTTTTTGTACAGAAGGTCCATGTTCCCCTATTTTATGTTACTATCAATGGCCTTTAAAAATATTTATATATTAGCTTAAAAAAGGTGTTGCCATAATTGAAGAATTGTGAAATAAATGCAGATGAATCTATTCTAAGCACATAACTGCTAGAGACTGGATTTATGTTTTTGTTGGCGAGTCTTTTGACCATCCTGCTATCTCTGTTTATTAAGCAAAATGTTAACCAAAAACAGCTTATCATCTTCATTGTTTAACTTAAAAAATGAGCATGTCTGTGACTTAAATTTACAGTGTTTCAAGTGACTTTTCAACTGCTCTTCTTAAAAATCAGTAAAATATCAAGAAAGTATTCACATGCACCTAACTGAGGGCCATCTTTGACTCTTTGAAGTTACTTCACATAAGCAGACAAACCCTACCATGTCATACCATACAAACAATTTTAATTGTGTAGTTACAGTCAATATCCACTCCTAATCAGAACGTTTCTGCATAAAGAAAATTGTGATACACTTATAAAAACAGCCAGCTGTAACAAAATAGCTGGTGTTTTCATAGCCATAAACTCATAAAAAAGAAATACACCTTTATACAGAAATTTTATACAGATGTAGCTTTAAAATTGATTGTAAACCAAAGGAAGACACATTGCAAACATCAATTATTTTCACATTAATTGCATAATTTTCTAAGGTGATCTATTAGTTTTATTTACCTAAGCTTATTTGCATGATAGTAAAAATTGCATACAACAATAAGAGTGAAGCTTATAGTATGAATTGCTTGGATAACATAGAGCACTTTTTATAGGCAACTGTGTAAAGCACATTTTCTCTATTTAAAACTTTTAAGACACTTTGTTTTACTGCCCATCAAAATACATTTATAAATAGAAAAGAATCAGTATGGTAACAGGAGAAGCAATATTACATTTAACGGAAACTTCTAAAAAATTAATTACAACATGATGCTGCAGGATCTACAAATAAATAATGAGGACTAAATTGTGTTTCACATTTTCTTTTCATTTTTTAAAAAATCATGTAACAATGAGAATGAAAAAAAGTTACAGTGAACTTTTATTTCCAAAATAAAAACAAATTTGAATTACGGCAGTGCCATATAATACAAGGCATTTGTTGGCATATGTCATCTTTAAACTGCATTCCACAGTCTATAGTTCTTTTGTAACATACAATAGAGTAACAAACTCTTTTTTTTTTCTTTTTTTAAAATAGGGGACGAGTTTCCAAAGATCAGTGTGGAGTGTTACAGAAATAATTAAAGGAAGGAAATGATAATCACAGAAGTTATAATGCTTGTTGGAGGCTCCAGAATAATAATAATTAAAAAAAAAAAAAAGAAATCACTGGTATCATGCTTACGGGGTACACACCTTGGTGTGTCCCGTGAACACAAATTTTAACTTTTAATACCAAACAATCCTCGATGCTTCACCCGGGGCTGCCCAGCAGTCTGTAAAAGAGCAAAACATTTAGTGCAGTCTGCATTATGCTTTCTCAACTTTCCTGTTTGTGCAAGTGTCTGAAGATTCATTGGCCAAACAACAAACAACAAAGGGTTTCTGAGAGAATACAAGGCGGACTTCTCATTTTGTTAGTAAATACCAGTGGCACTGTTGAATGAAAATAATACTTTGATCTCAGTCTTTCAAGTCGGCGTTAATGTCTGTGTTTCCTTCCACTGAGAGCTCTTCTTCTAGCTTCACCGAGAAAAGGGTGTTAGCATTCTTGTCTTGCACACTCTCTTCCAAATCCTTAAGCAACTCCTCTTCTTTGTATTCGGCCACATCCACCTCCAACCCGGAGTTGTCCTTCAGCTTGCCGTGGTGCTTGAGATAATACCGCTGGTTCTGAAAGAACTTGATGATGGTGTACTTGGGGAGGTCAAGCTGCGCCGACAGAGTCTGGATGGCCTCTTCGTCCGGGTACAGGCCCACGTCTTGGATGAAACTCTGCAGGATGCCCAGGGCCTCCACGGAAATCTTCGTTCGCGGCCGGGTCTTCTGCCGGTTCTCGTCCTCCGCCTCGGCGGGCGAGGCCACGGTGGGCTGCCGAGGGGGCAGCCGTGGCCCGGCGGGCTGCTGCGCCTGCGGCTGCGGCGGGGGCGGCGGCGGCTGCTGGGGCTGCGGCGGCGGCTGCTGGAAGGAAACAGGCAGACAGTCAGGGCTCGGTTCTCCGGGCGCCGCGCAGCGCCGGCTAAGTCAGCAAACGTGCGGTCATGGATCCCACACGGAGCTGCTTTGACGAGGACAGAGACTGAGGACGAAAAGGCAGCCAGCTAACAGGCCCACAGCATTAGGAAAACAATCAAAATGATAAGAACTAGGAAGGGAGGGATGAATAGGGCTTTGCGGGGGCTACTGGGCTTCCTTATCAGAGGTCAGTGGAGCCTCCCTACCCTTGATGTGCGGTCTGGCACACGGAAGTGAAAACTCAGAGCTCTGAAAACGTGAGCCATAAACTTTGCCAGAAAGATCCGCATCAAAGGCAAAGACAGCAAAGCAAATTATGATGTAAATAATTAACAAAGATTTAAAATGAAAATTGAGAAATAAGGATTTCAAAGGCATTTTAGAAAGGTGAGCTCCAGAGCCGTGGGGAAAGACATGTGCGCTTTGCCCCATTTCATGGGATGGCTAAGACGCAGCAAGAAGAAGACAGTCTCATTTAAACTCCAAATAAAATGGGTACGTGTCTGCTCTTCTTCAGCATTCTCCTTCATGAGTCCAAAGGGTTTCTGAGATTCTCACGTTTGTGAATTTCCTACCAGACAGTTCTAATTTAATACACACAATTTCTTACCAAATTGCGCCAGGCTGACACTGCAAGTTTTTTTCTTACTGAAAAATAAAGGTTCAATCCACTACCCAAAGGGCTAGTGAATTGTTTTGTCTATAGTAAACTGAGATGTGATTAGGATTTAAATTTAGTGTATACAGACACTTCTTCATAATTAGTGTCTGTATATGTGCAGTAATTTCCATACACAATTATACATAACAAATGTTTGACACATGCACATACTGTATACTCTCTATCCATAATTCTTATCAGCAAAGCAAATCAACCTGAGTAAGCAGCAAAATATTAGAATGTTTATACTGTGCCTAAGCATTTCCTTTTATCCCCCTAAGAAGCAATTTTATTAAAAACAATTTACATTTTCAAACAAGTACTTTTTTATTACTTAACATATATCTTTCTCTTTTTTGTTTTTGCTAAACAGTATGTTTTCCAGGCTTTCACAATTATTTTAGTGCTTGATATCCTAAGGGGTTCTCTTTTTCAATTTATCTTTAATTCATACTCAAGGATTTTTTTTTTCCTAGTGCATGGATAACCCTATTATTGTTTTTAGCTACACAGATATATACTTTTTCACCAAGAAATATATATCTTGGTGATACCAAGAATGTAGGTGATTCAACAAAGATAGTAGAATTTTAGGACTCTGGAAGGCAACAGCATTTTTCCTAAAAGGGGAAAGCTAAAAACAGCCCCTTAGATTTACCAGAAATAAGTTATACAGCTCAAATCCAGTCTCAACACACTTCCTAAGCAATTGAGGCCATGAGAGCACCAAAAAACTACCTGAACCCAGAGCTTTGCTTCTAGATGCTTAGGGGAGTTCCCTCGGTGGATGAATGGAGACAAGTCCCACGACACGACAAGCCAGGCACATGGCTGAATCTGCTGGCCCAGCGGTCTTTGGGCAGCACCATGGTTAGTACGTCCTTTGAAAGTGTGAAAATCCTGACCGAGGGAGCAGGTTTTTACGCCACCCCGTCTCCCTCTCTGGCTGGCATACATCACTTGTGCCTGCTCACCTGACGAGCAGCACCGAGCCATGGTGCAGGGGTCAGCAGGCCTGGTAAGAAAACGCCTCTAGACTCTCCTTTCCCAAGGGTGGTGGGAGAGGGGCTCTAAAGGAAAGACAAACAGACGTGACTCACCCCTAACCTGTGTTCTGTGAGGGTGTAGGGAGATAGCGGCAAGGTGAGGAGGCCCAGCAGTCTGAAGCCAGAGTCCAATTAGCTTTCCCTCCCCTCCTCTTCCTGGACACAATCCAAGGTGCAAAATTATAATTTGACAACCTTCCTCTTCAGAAACAGCAGTAATTCCTTTCCTCAGGGGCACTATTGGTATTAATTTAAAAAATAGGTTTTTAAATTCTGATTTTTAAAAACCAAAAAAGTTTAAGCTCTCGCACGCAAAACAACCCAATTCTAACAAAGACACACTTGCCAAACAAGAAGTGTAAAAGGGGGTTCCTGCCACTTTGGGGGTGTGAAGGGGGGGAAGAGGAACACAATACACATTTTGGAAAAAGTGTGTTAATTTTCCTTTTATCCCCTTGAGCAAGAAGGCAGTGTATTGTTCTCTCTTGCTAAGAAGCCTGTGTTTAGACTGGCGGGAAGAAGAGAAACGCTAATTTCCCTGCTAAGTTTAAAGCTCTATTTACTTAGTGCTATACTGAATTGGCCAAGGTAAACGAACCTGAATCTGCTCTGCTGGAACATGGATGATGTGGGGCGGCCTGTCGCCATGGTGATGTACCGCATTGCTCTCCTGCTCATAAATGGCATCACGTTCTGGCTGAGGAAGACTGAGGAACCTTCGGATCATGGAGAGGTTCTCCCACAGGGTCCTGTTTTCTGGAGAAGGATCTTCTTTCCAGCGTAACAGCTCACACAACCACCCCTTAGAGACAAGAGAATGAGAGGTCAGTTCATGCCTCTAGGGGGCTGACAATTTCCATTAGGAGCTTAAAAAGGAAAGACTTTGTGAAGTTAACTTTTTTCATAAGCTCAAAACACTCCAATCTGCTTAAAAAAAAAGTTTTAAAAACCTGTTAAAAGAAAATAGCTGTGGCTGTTGAAGAGGCAGGCTCTGTTTCTAATAAATGTTCAGATTTCCATCTTAAAGGAGAGTCATATTTTGCAGACTCCAACGGCAAGGCAGATAGATCTGCCACGGGCTTTGCAATATGTGAAACAGGAGGAGAACAGAGTAGAGTGTGCTTCCAGTCTTGCCCAACTTTCTTGTCTGATGAGTGGCCATCTGAGGTCCTGAAGGTATTTAAGAAGGGAGAGAACAAATTTTTAGAGTACATTTTTTTTTCTAAAAGGGTTCCCTAAGTTTATAATTTTTGTATTAGAAAGGACACTGTGTGTGACTATTTGTGTGTATGTGTGTGAGTGTGTGTATGACAGAGAAAGGACATGTGCAATTGTGTGTGCAAGAAAGCTGTCCGATGTAAGGCATAATGATTAGAATGGGCATTAGAAGAATTCTTCAGAAAAGAACGTTCCAAAAGGATACTTGGAGTCCTGTTTTTCTGCCTGCTGCAGTGTACACAATATGATTTGTCAGACAAGAATTTTAATAGATTTCCTGAGTTAAGAGAGAAGGAAGTGCCCAATGAATACCAAAGCTGAACTTCTCTGAGGGCTTCCAAGGCCCAGGTTTTATCCTCGGATTGTCTATCAAGAACTCAGTGGGCCAACAGAGTACATCGTCTAACATTTTCTAATCACCATCTCAGACTTACTCCATCTTGGCTGCCATGATGGACACTAAGCAATGGGCTGGAAAGGAAAAGGGGGGGCGACCCACCTAGACTCCCCTTCACCAGCCAAGGCAACCACCCCCAGCGGCTGTGCTGCCTGCTAACAGCTTTCAGTCACATTCTTCTCTTGAGAAATGCCTTGGGGCCATCACACCTGGAGATGCCAGGACAGTCACTCTAATTCCTCACTGACCCCCTCACTCTGGGGTGGCCAGGGACTGGCTGATCCATTGGTACAAAAATCTCTGTCCACTTGCCCCAAAGTGACAACTCACTCTACTCTTCAATTTACTCTCTAGAGATGGCCCTCCCCGTTCTTCCTGGTCCCTCTGCCCATCAGTACAGACTTCAGCTGGACCCCTTCCTCTTCCTTATCCTCCCTCACTCCTTCCAGGCCCCTCACCAACTCACGAGCAGCTGATTCCCCATCTTAAGCTCTGCTTTAGGGAACAAGATCTAAGACAAAGGGGTTTCTTGGAAATTCCAAGTCAATCAGTTGGATGGTAATGGAAAGAGTACTGTTACCTTTGGGGTGAGACCAGAGAATGGTATGACTTTCCTTCCCTTCTTCTCAAACTGGAGAGAAAATTCTCCTTCCAACTGCACTATACTGTGGGAAAAAGCAAGGCCCATTCTCCCCAAAATGGCCTTTTTGACAGATTTTATAAAAAAAGATAGAGAACTGATACATTAGCTGCCCAAGGCCCACCTACTAACCAGCCAAGGGTGCCTGCAGCTAAACCTCGAGATCAACTAATTTTCCTAAGAGAGTTTTGATTCTGCACTCGACAGGTCATGCAATTATGCACTCAGTTGACGGCACTCAATTGTATAATACGAAGCTAAGAGAGCAGGCAGTGAACTGAAAATTTATCTAAAAGAATATTAGCCAAATAAAAAATAATAATTGTGCTTACAGTGTCACTGAACACACTTCTCTTCTAACTATGGCAATTCTATGTTTATTTCCAGGATAATATGATGATATGTCATATTTCAGCTCTATTTATATGAGTATAACATTAAACAAAACTGTATTTGAGCCTTTGAAATATCTGAGACCCACTCGCATATGGTGCCCTGGAGATGTTTGTTTAGCTCTTACTGGCAAATATTTGCTATCTGGATTAAGCCATGAAAATATTTTCTATTTTCCTACATCTAAGCTATTTCTTTACATTTTACCTCTAAGTTTGGATGCTGTGCAGGTTTTAGATATATATCTTCCCGTAGGCTTGAATATTAACTATGTCTAAGATTACTTTCTTCCTCCCCCTTGTCTTCAGCTATAGCAATCGACAGGCCCCCATGCTTCAACACAGCAAATCACTAAAGTTTTATTTACCTTTCAAGATATGTTAGAAGGTTCATAAAGAACAGAGAAGTTTTTTTTTTTTAACTTAACTAGTGTTATACTAGTGCAATAGGTGCTAGACATTGAACATCTAAGTTGTTTTTTTTTTTTAGAAATATATGCTTGTAACTAAAAACTGCTGAAAAGTTAAATTAAAAACAATTCATGTAAGAAAGGCTTCTTGGAGAGAGCTGAAAAACTCCAATAATTTTTCAAATCCTTTAGAAACTTTTTAAAGTAACGCAGAGATCAGTGAGTACTCGGATATATGTGAGAAAACATGTGGATCACAGATGTTCTTTGGAAAAGAAAATAATTAGTTCTTTGAAAATGGCTAATAATGATAGCTAATTCCTAAACAATCACACTCATGCTGGTTTAACAAATATTTCAGAAAAAGAGCCCTGACTCATTCAACAAATATTTTGCTCATATTGTCACTTCTGTGTCTCTGTACTTATGAGACGGATCCTTATTTTTATTAATTGCCCATGACTAACATAACATTTCCAGTAGTTTGCTATTAACCTCTGCCCTTAAATAATACTTCTAATTCCTTATCTAAAAATAATTTGATGAATTATAAGTTTGGAGCATGTCTCTGCTAGCCTTTCAAGAGACACGACGATTTTAAGAGACTGAAATCAGATGCTTCTTAGAAAAATATTTAACGGTACAGCTGGGAACTGTTAGTTCTCCAAGGGTATTCCAAAAAAACAAAAAGGAGGGGAGTACTTTTCTTGATGTGCATGTTTCTTAAAAAACAACAGAAAACAGATATTTTGACACGCTAGTTCTTTGTCAGCAGAGAAATATATTGGCTCATTCCCAATTTACACTGGCAAAAATAAGATTAATTTATTATAATGCTATTTAAATACCATGGAATATTCTGACTACCTCAAATTCTATCAATTGAGACTCTGTGAATGATGACAGTAATCTGATCTGTTTTGCAGAAAGTGACTAAAAAAGCCAAATGCTTTCTAATTCCCCAATACCTTTTTCTAGGTCACTTTTCCATAAGTGATATTGTTAGAGCAAATGAACTTGGAAGACAATGAACATGTGAGAATGTTTGTAATATCTGACAGAGAAAAACAGGGATTCCCCTAAGTACTGTATTGGTTTTTAAATGATAAATGTAAGATTTCCCTGGTAGAGGACAAACGCGGAATGAAATGCAGTACTTTGTCACAAAATGTGAACGTAATTACTTTATTAAGAAAGGTCTCTGGGACTTGAAATATTGTCAGACCATAGGTGGGAGTAGGGCGCCACTCAAAATTAAATTAGGTGACAAGTGCTCTGAACAGTAGAAAAAGACAGGAGACTAACAGCCTTAAAATATCGAGACCAATCCATTCTCAGAAAACTAAAATGGTACAAGGAGCAACCTAACCTTTAAATGTAGTAAATTTGCCAAGCAACATTACACTGCATATAAAGAGGGCAAAATATAAACAGTAGCCACATGTAAATAAATTAGTAAAACTTTCAGGATGTTACTACTTTTCAAACTGACAAAGTTTAATTTGACACCTTCTGTTCTAAACCCTTTGTTTCTATTCAAAATCACGCCTTGAGCTGTTGCTATCAATCACTGCACTCCCCCCATTACTGAAAAAAACTGGCATGGACCCTGAATAAGCTGAAAATGCCATGCAGATGAATTCTGAGATAATATGTTCAAACCTGTTATATACAACACAAATCCTGTAAAGTTATGTATTGTAAACCTACATTTATTGAGAACTAAAAGTCTTAAATCCATCTGCCACAAAGGAAATACTGTTATGTACTTTATAGTAACCAAGAACCATCTGCAAATGTCTTGCTACCGTAAGCAAGAAAACGGTGCAAAAGATGCTGAACCTAAGAGCACATGAAATAAATAACATTCTTTTGACTGGTTTTGGTTAGGTATCTACTAAAGACACGTAAGACTGGGGAAAAAAAGGAAAAGGGAAAGTGCAGAATGACTGCCAAACCTGTCCTGAAAAAAAGCAAAACAAACTCAATGACAATACAATGGCAATTTATTATGGTCCATGAAACACACAACTGTATGCTCATTTTAAAGGAAAAATTAGCAGTTCTAAACTCAATATTCTAATGATGTCTTTACTGACAGAATCCTGTTGTACCACATTTAAATAAAAATCCTGGCACCTTCATCTCTCAGCTGCTAATTTCCAACCAAATTCAATCTCTGATTTCCACTCCACTCTTTTTAGAACAGTTAATTCAAGTCAATTCACTTCATTCATTTTAACGGATAAGGGGTGCGCAACGATTTTAACTCAGTCAAACAAGTAGCCTCATTTCACGAATGAACTTATTGTACCTCTGCAGTCTCAGACATGTAAAAAGACAACTCTTACAGGACCTGGTCGGTGACAAAGGTGGAAGCATGCAACACAACCAGTTTTCCAGGGAAAAACAGATTTCAGTATTCTCTGTGAAAATAAGTCACTTAATGTAGAGATACGTGTATTTTATCATCTGTACATATACATTTTAAACCCAAGAGTTCAAAAAAGAGAAAGAAAATGACAATTCTTGCTGCAACTAAGAAGGAAAAATACATTTTAAAAAATAGAATGGTAATTTGAGTTCTAAAAAGCAGAACATTTTATAGTCTGTATTTAGTCCCCTCACCCTCATCTTTTATGTGTTATTTGCGGGAGTATTTCGTTCCAATCTCTGGGGCATATAGTATAATAATATATGATATTAAAAGAAATCAATCTAAATAGGGAGGTATTTGATACAAAC